GGTTCCAATGTTTTTATGGTTTCTAATAATTGCAACTACATTTTGCAAGGCTAATAATCCTTGGTTTTTCAAGAGTATTCAGCTTATTTTTTGTTTGTGTCTAATTTACTTCATTTTCTTTTTATTTGTAGAAATACAGGTTGTGCAAGGAATTATAAGCGAGTTGGAATCCCAGGGGGCACTTCCTAGAAGCAATTCGAGGGTCTCATCTCTTGCGATGTGTTGTTGACCGAGGTTGGTTCTTGAAGACCGCTAATATTTTTTTCTGGTTTCTATGAGATAATGTGAATTGTCTATGAAATATTTATCCAGTGATATCTATACTCCGTATGGATAATTAATTTGTCTCATGATAATTTGGATCATATCCTTTTTCCCTTTACTTTACAACCATGACATGATAAATCTAATCAACAATCTTCTATTTAGCTTAGAATAACTATGTTTCTTTATTAAATGAGTAATAATAATAAATTTGTTGTTTGTATATGTAGATGGAACATCGTATGTGGATGTACAATAGGAATCTTCCTAATCGGCGGGGTTTAAGAGATGAACGTGGTTGGAGGCGTGTATAAGGGTAGAGCATACGGCCTTTCCTCCTAGCGCAATTATCATCCCCTCGCGTGTGGACTACAAGGTATATACTTTTTGGTTAATAAGCTCTTCTTTTTGTTAGCTGTGTTTCGGGGGTTATTTTTGGGGCNTGACTTGTGATGAGGTTTTTGTCCACAAGTATTGTGGAATTTACTCTATTTTATTAGTTAAGATAATAAAAAAGGATCAGTCACTCTAATAATTGCTGAAGTTATTAGAATATTAAAGAAAAACTATGGCAATATAAGAGAAGCGGTATAAAGTACATTTAACTTTGAGGACTAACTTCAAAGATCTGTGATATTGTCCGTTTTAATTTGGGCAAAGTCCGCACAATTTTCCTCAAAAGGCCTCACATATTAAGAGTATCCCTATATCTAGTGAAAGTAATATGTTGTTCAAAATTTAGCCGAAGTTTTCTACTTCATGGTATGTATGGTAGTCGATGTTCCTTAGTTGAAGTTTATGAAGTTAGGTGCCGAATTATTCAATTCTAACTCGTCGTGTATTTTTTTCACTTCTCTTTTGTGGATAACAAGGTATTGGGACATCCGCCACCGTGCAAAATGAGGACCTTGAGGAGATGCGGTGAACGATTCAACAACTTTCTAGGAACTATGCGGATGAACGAGAAAAAAGAAAGCGTGAAGAGAAGATTAGAGACGCACTTAGGAATGACATCGACTCCCTCAAGGCTCAAGTGAACCACTTAATTGGCATGCCCCGCTCTCCGCCAAAAAGCCACATTTATGAAGAGGATGAAAGTGATAGAAATAATACAAATGATGAAGAGGATGAGGGGGAATCCAAAGATGAGTGATTTTATGTTTGGTTGGATTGTTGTTTAGTTGGATGTTAACATTGAATGTTATATTTTGATGTTTGGTTGGATAATTTTGATGTTTGATGGGATAATTTGGATGTTTGGATGTTTGACGGGATAATTTGGATGTTTGGATAGTTTATAAAGTTTTGTTGTTGTTAAGTTGAGTTTTATTGTGGTTGCATTTCAATTTGTATTGTAATATTCTAGCTGGTAGGTGGTGCAACAAAAAATAGGCATTGCCTGCCAAAAATGTACCAGATTTACCGACGGACTTACCGATAGAGTCCGTCAGAACAATTATTCATTTTCAATCCAGAATTCTTAATTAGCGAGGGTGTCCGTCGGTAGACTTGAACCAAAATTTCAAATTTTGTTGAAAATACCGACGGATAGCCATCGGAATATGAATTTATTCATATTTTTAGTTTTTATATTTCTAAATTAAAATTCTAAATTTACCGATGGTGTCCGTCGATAGTATTAAATTATTATTTTTAATTTACCGACAGGAATCCGTCGGTATTGATATTATTAATATTATATTATTTTATAATATACCGGCGGATATTCGTCGGTAGGTAAAATTATTTGGTCAGAAATGTATTGATGGCTTTCCGAAGGGGTCCGTCGGTAAGTTACCGATAGATTCTGTAGGTATATTTTACCGAGGAAGGATTTACCTACCAACCACTTACCGACGGACTTTCGTCGGTAAAGCCTTGTTACCGACCAACTTCCGTCGGTAATTTGCGTCGGTAAACAGGTGATTTTTAGTAGTGGTTAAGAATAGATACATGCGAGGACAATTCAGAATTTAAATTTTATAATTTCGACCTTTAAAGTATTTAACAATGAATCCATTATATTGTTAAAGTTATGGGTTCATTTCAACTATCATAAATTTATGTTTTGCGCTAATATCGGAGTTCAGATGAACCCAGTACCAAAGAGCTGGATGCACCCCTGCTCGAGGAAAAGTCTTTCCGATATTTGTAAAGATATAATGTATATGAGTAAGTTTTAAATTTGGTTTTGACTTATTTACACAATTGGTAAAGGTAATAAATAATTACTCCTATAAATCAAGCTTATGAACCAAAGCTAGAGATTTTTTTAAAACTTCAAACACGAGTCACGATTTTATTATCGTTGATACGCAAATGAAATTGTCGAAGGGACGCTTATTGGCTTGACCTTCTTGTACATTTGAGATCCTGGAAGCCAAGTTTGTGAGGTTTGAATTTTGGACCAAGAGGAAACAAAATTAAGAAGAGTGAATATCCTAAAATTCCCCTAAACTATTACGTTTTTGTCAGTTACATATTTAAACTATTTGATGTCCCTAAAACCCCCTTTAACTATATTCCCCTATATATTAAAAATCTCTCGTCGATTTTTTAATAAAATAAGTTAACTTACCAAAAGGTGCGTGAAAGATGAAATTATACATAAAAATGGCCCCAATTGCATGTGTCTAATGGTTAATTATTGTTACCCTCTTTAAAAAATTGTTCTTTCTATTTTCCTTCTATTTTCTTTATATTCTATAGCCTTCTTTATTTTTATTTTTTATCTTTCTTCTTCCTTTCTTCTTATGGGTTTCATTTGAAAAAAAATCTTCTTTTGTTTCGTCTAAAATTATATTTTTTCCTCTTCTTTCAATACTATTTAGTCCACCAAAAGCACATAATTTTTACCAAACTCTAATTGAAATTTTGCCAAACCATGATTTTTTTATCCCAAGTATTAAACTAAAATTTTCAGTGAAAACAAAGGTTAATGAAAAATCCAATTTTTAATCGAAGTTTAATGGAGAAATTTACGATTGAGACATGGTGTAACGATTATTAGGAGATGGAAGAGATTTTTTTTTTTTCCCAGATAACCATGCGTTTATCCCTTCACCCTCTTTCTTTGATTTTAACCCCCAAACATTTACCTATTTAATTGTTTTTATTATTAGTTAAGATTCTTAATTAAATTGATATGTAAATTAGGCTAGGTAAATAGAAGGGTGTATCACACGCATCACTAAAAAATCGATGAGGAATTTTAAATATATAAAGGTATATAATTAAAGGGGATTTTAGGGACACCTAATAATTTGAACAAGTAACTAACAAAAACATGATAGCTTAAGAGGGTTTCAAGATATTCACTCAATTAAAAACCCAAGTTAGTGGCTCAAAAGTAAGCATACTTGCTCTTCTCTTCTTAACTCCAATCGAAGAAATCTGGCATATGTCAATGTTTATTATTCCTTTAATCTGCCTAGGCAGTGAGCGCAAGTTAGCACATATACTGATTGGCCTTTCTAAATTAATGCTTAGTGAATCATAAATGCAATTCCGGAAGGGAATAAGCAAAACTGAATCAATTTCACCAGTTCTATGCACCATTTGAGCCCAAACGGAAAAATCATAAGCTGGTTACCTCGAATTTATAATTTGTCAGCTTATATAACTTTTTGTTTTATCAAAACTTTTACTAATTTATCCTAATAATTCTTTTTGTAATTCCAAAATAATCGTTTTTTCTAATTTGTCCTTTCCCAAAATAATACTTTCTAATGTTATTTTAATAGCTTTAGTGACCTTATAGTCATTTAAATAAAACGCTTATCAACAATATTTTTTGTCAAATACATTAATTACTTATTATTAAATTCAACACTTTTATCCATATATATAACTACAAAAGGTACTTTTCAGCTATTAATATTCACCAGCTACTTTCAATTTGTCACACTAAAAGTGCTCGAAGAACAAACAAGGTGCCTTAAAGGCCACAAGGTGGGCTAACTTCCAATCAACTCATCACTTATCGATGTCACAAAAAAGATCATTCAAATCAACATCAACAGAGACCGGCGTAGAGTTTCAAGCAACCAATTCGTTTTAATCTTTTCTTTTCTCTCTTTTATTCGTCTGTTTACCTTGTAAATGGTAATTATAATTAAATTTGATTTTGTGATTCTAAAAATACGTGATTTATTTTTATGTTAGTTGTTTGAACAATAGATGCTAAGTGAGATACTTGGAGACTAGATAAGAGCTTGAATACAAGATGATAACCAAACTGAATGGATGACGATCGGGGCCTTGAGCTTGCTTATTCGGGGCCTCGGGGTCGAGTCTGATGTCTCGCCGAGGGTAGTCGATGGATGACTAACAGTTATAATAAAATCAATGATGGCTCTTTATGGCCAATAATAAGTAATAAATGAAGAACAATAAATGGAATGCGATGAATATAAGTAATAAATGCAAGTAATGAGATTAAGAGAATATGTTAGAAAATAGAGAGAATATTCTTGTGTATTCAATATTGAGCAACAATTGTTTACAAAATGACAAGGATCCCCTTTATGTACCAAGGGGAATCTCTGCATAGTACAAATGCATTTATTGAAAAGATATGGGGCTGGTATAGCCATTTAATGCCTTGATCCGGGTTTGAACTAGCCCTATAGGCTTTGTCAGCTCTAGTTACGCGCCTTGGGAACTTCCCACTTTTTTACCATAACCATCGATCTGAATTGCCCCGAGGTCAGATGTTGACAGCCCTTCAGGTGTTAATCTCGACCATAATCTCGAGCCTATTGAAACGTGTTTATGAAGCGCCGTAGTGACCGAAAACTGGACCCTTTGATTTTACCGTATACAGATAGTCCCCGCATTTCTTGGAGTGAAACGATAAGAAACGACTTCGATATCTATCTCCTCGACCTTACTGCGATGGTGTCATACTCATGACGTAAACCTTTGTGATAACTGAGGCGTCTCATCGATTCACCTTTCCAGAATCATTCGATGTACCGCCAATTTATATTCTCCAAAGCGATAATATCCCTACCGGTCCAGTTCCTGAAAATGCATTGATTGCGCCAGCCGGTACGTCTTTCAAAGACATTGATTGCGCTGTCGGTTACGCTCCCACCCTTCCTATAAATGGAAGCCTTCTTGAATCAAACATCATTCAAATGTTTTTAAACAACCCTTTACCCCTTCCTTCTCTACATCTTCATCCATTGTTATTTCTCATGTTTGAGGCCTGTGGCCCTAAGGTTATATAGCAGTGTCCTCATCAGTTGCGCCATGGCCCATTTCTAGAGCTTTCCCTTCCCAAGCGGAATTGCACTGGTTTGTTGTTGTTGTTGTTGTTGGCCCGAGGTAATGAGAGAGAAATCTCAAATTACCCTCGCATTAAAGGATATATGCACCACAAACTTCTACTCATCCTTCCTAATTACCCGGTGCAGCGCCTCGTTCCTTTTGCTTTTTGTGGAGTGAAGTGGTGCCATCTACTCACTGTTGCATCCCCCACCAGTGCAACGTATCGAGAAGTAGCTTCTCAATAGTAGTGCTGGCGAGACCCATACTCGCCAGAGTTTTCACCTAGCCACTTCTTCATCTTTTACTGCTCCTTCTTCATCTTTTTCTTCTTCTTCTTCGTCATCGTTTTCTGCTTCTTCTTTATCTTGAAAATACCATTTGAAAGATCAAGAGGAGGCCCCGAAGGAACGGTTCTCGAAGACACTACCCCCGAGGATATACCCCAGAAAAACGATTAGGCTCGTAACTGTTATTTACATTTTTTCCTTTTTCTTTGGCTTCTCTGTTTTTGTGTAAGGACCCTTCGTGGGATTTTGTAATCATGTGTAAGGACCATTCGTGGGCTTTTGTAATCGTCGTTTATTAATGAGAAAGATGTTTCTTCAATTTGTCTCTGATTTATGCTTTATTTCCCTTTATCTGCATTTGTGAAGAATCTGAATGCATGATTCTACCGATCGATACGAATACCGAGCTCAGGTGTAAGTATTTCTATGGCTCTTGACTGATTAACCCGATTACATGTGGAACTTTTTGCCGTTCCTTGGACCGAGCCCGGGTTGGATTGATAGACTCGGGTCGTCGGGCCCCCCGACTTCGAGTTGAATGAGAGTAAGACTTCGAACTTTCAGAACGAAACTTAGCTTTTCAGACCCCGTGATAGTCCCCGAGGGGGGATTTGCTCGGATGTTTGAAAATAAAGATAGCCTGAAGGATTTCAAAAATAGTCCCCGAGTGAGAGTTCGCTCAAACTCGGGCGACCTGGAAACTTGTTTTGAACTTAGAGAGAATATAGCCCCAAGGCGTTGCAGATAGACCCGGGATGAGGGTACGCC